TCAAGAAGGGATACCGCCGTCATGATCGACTACCTCTATCCACTTCTCCTCGCTCTGACACTGTGATCCGACAACCGCAAACAAGGCAAGAAAATGGAAGGGGAATCGTGATCTTGGCATGGGGTTTCGGTTATCTTCGCGTCGATCAGTTTCGCGAGCTTTTATCATAGGTATCCACAGCAGAAATTTCCCTTTTCTCCATGATAAGGGCCATGCGTCCTTTTTTTTGTCGTCGTCGATTCACTGATTGTGTAGGTAGCCAAGATCGTCTTTTGCTATTGTTGTACGTACCTACTGAACCAGCCAAGCAACCAAAAGACGACAGACCGGCACTTGCAACCCCTTGTCGCCAACCTAGAGACTGAGCTACCGGAAACTGACCCGGACCTCTCTGGGGTGCAGTTCGAGTTGGACTAGCAAGGTATGTTGACCGAGTAAATACCTTACCCCTGAGCATACGGTCCGACCCGAGAATGCTACCGCAACATCATTATCAACAACCTACACAGAATTGGTGACATCGGCGACTAACAATACCGTTCACTACTTAGGTAGATACCAAACGCAACAATGTCCAACCCACTTCTCGTCAACGTCGGCAACCCGGGCATCTCGTACACTCCCGCCCAGACACTCGAGCTGGTGTCGCGGGCGGGAGCGAGAAAAGGGCGGACTAAGCCGCACATCGTCTTCATCTCGGCCGTCTCGGGCGGGTGCATGGTGGGCTTTGCCGTGGCCGCTTTTCTGGCTGTGGTGACCGCGCCATGGTACCAGGAGAACGCCCCGGGCTTCATCAGGATGATTGGAGCGCTTATTTTCCCGTCCGGTCTGGTCATGATTGTGTATGTTCTTTTCTCTCTATTCGTGTTATCAGATATACTGACATACGCAATAGCTTGACCGGAGCTGAACTCTTTACCGGTACTACAATGGTAAGCTTCACTCCCAGAAGACTACCATCAAAGAGGAGCTATTGCTAACATGAGTTTAGTTCACAACGGTTGCTGTGCTCCACGGGCGCCTATCAGTCTGGAGAATGCTGCTGCACTGGTTCCTCTGCTTCTGGGGCAACTTTGCCGGCTCGCTCTTTGTGACACTGATCATCTTTGGTTGTAAGTCATTCTCCCATCATAATCAGTCCTTCATAACCAGAAAGTATTAACAACTCTTGGCAAAAAGACGGGGGCGGCTTCGACAGCCCACCTTATCGCGACCAGGTCATCGCCACCGCAACCTCCAAGCAAGTGACACCATCGTTCCACCAGATTTTCCTCCGCGGCATCGGCTGCAACTGGCTCGTCTGCATGGCCATCTACCTCGGCATGCAGGCCAAGGATATCAACTCCAAGAGTAAGCTACAACCCTACACCACCCCCCCCCCCCCCCCCCCCCCCCCCCTATCACAACATTACCATCTACTGACTATTTGTTTGTGTAGTTGTGGCAATGTGGTGGCCAATCTTCGCCTTCGGCGCAGCAGGCCTCGAACACGTCGTAGCCAACATGTCTTTTATCCCCTTAGCAATCTTCCACGGCACTCCTGACCTATCAATCGGTCTCTACATCTGGAAAGGCATCATCCCGTCCGGTCTTGGCAACATCATCGGAGGAGCCCTGTTCTGCGGCGTCTACTACTGGTGGATCTTTATCTACCGCGAGTCGGAGATCATGGTCGACGGGACGTACTACGAGCACCAGCCTCAGCATGTTGCGCGGGAGGTGCAGAACCTCGATGCTGAGAAGGGGGCGGCTCCTGAGGCGGCGGCGGTTCGGACCGGTGCGGAACGAGATATGGAGGCTGGTAGTCTTAATATGCGGAAGCCGCCGCTCTCTGGGTCGGAGTATAGCAGTGTTACTAACCTGGGTAACTAGGATCTGTTGAAGAGTTTAGTGTGTATAATAACGTTATATATATATATATATATATATACAGATATGTATGGAGATTGGGGTCTGTTAGAGTTCCGATAATATAGACGGAGCGACTGGCTTGTGCCGGGCTCATGCTGGATGACATGCGTTCTTACCCCCAGTACATGAACTAGAGTGTGGTTTGGCCTGTATCTGTTTCATTATCGTCTTGATTCCAAGAGAACTGTAATTGAAAATAATAAAGCCATTTGTATTTACATCAGTGTTGATGAGTTGGGGTTTATATACAGTTAACCTCAAGGATGACGACAAGTCAACCGTTGTCCTGAGGCACGAGAACCCTTCTCACTCAAGCAAGAACCTTAGCCAACGCGGTTACCTGATCCAAAAGCGCCTTACTCTCAGACGCAGCATTCTTGAGCACCTTGTCCCTAAGATGATCAACCTGCAGCCCAGCAGCGGCAGGCGGATTCCCCTGCGCGGTCTGAATGCGCGAGACCTGGAACTGGAGGAAGAATTTGGGCACTTTGATGGCAAGGTTTCCGCTGACGGAGCGGATGCCGGCTTCGGTCGCCAGGTAGACGTCGAGCTGGTTCTGGAAGGTGGCGAGATCGCTTGACGCAAGAGGTATCTTTGTCGCGAATTCGCTTAGGGCAAACGCCAGGGGTGTTTGTGACGACGTGGCGAAGTTGACTGACGAAAAAGAGACGTCGCCGCTCGAGACGTCGGGGACTCCTGAAAGTGTTTTGGACGAGAAGTCGCAGGTGATGCGGTCGCCGATGTTGGTTACCACGGTGGCTACCTCGGCGGGCAGCGCCGTGTTTCCGATGACGAAGCAGGCGGATTGTCTTTCTGCGAGGAGGGGTGCTGGGGAGGGAAGTATGTTAGTTCATATATCGGCGAGTTGTTAGGGTTTGGTTAATGACTGGAGAGACTTACCGGAGAAAGCGACGCCAGCGCCCAGAGTAAGGAGAAGTAGAGTGGACTGCATGTTGGCGTCGGTCAAGTTGGCAAATGACAACTTCGGAATATAATCAGAGAATTCTATAATAGCAAGGTGAACGAATCGAAGGACGCACGCGTCGAGAGAATGCAGACAAAACAGAAAGAAACCCAAGAAAAGATGCACCGCCAATGCAGATCATGTTCTCTTCGAGAGAGAGGGCATCACGCATGATTATATACCCTCTTCTACGGCAAGTTGTTGCCGCTTCCCTTGGATGGGCTCCAATCGCAACCGGTGTCCGGCTCGTCTCATGTTGCCCATCGTGTGTGCCAGATCCCCGGTCTGGCAACCGAGAAATGCCACGCTGCTCGCCGGGGCTGCCCATATATAGATTAGACCCAGGTTTTGATGGTCCAGGAGCGGTTTAGTGCCAGGAACGGTTGTCAAAGTGTAAAACGTCTGTGGGGCGGTTTCATGTTCGCGAGCAGCCTCTTTTCCCCTTCCAAGCGCCCGTGTTTGGGGATCTCCTAAACGTGCCGATGCTACCATGCACCGATCTCAAAATCTCCGACGCACTTGTTTGTCTTGGTATGTAAATCCTCGGATATTCTTGTCAACTCTTTCTTCACCCATGACATCGTGAACCCCTTGAAGTGAAGTGAAGTGCAACTCCTATTTATTACACATTACCCTGGATTGACTTTAGACCGAGAATCCAAGAATCACCTTAGCCTGACGCTTCCCGACTTTCGAGCCCCTCTCTGTCGTCGCTTCAGCCAAGAATGCAAATATGCAATACTTCCTGTTGTATCGACACGACTGGCTCGCTTCTCGAATGATGAATAATGATCTGCAAGACCTTTGCATTCCGGTCCGGGGGAATCGCCGGCAGTCCGTACGTACCGATCTGAATTGATGGCCATGACCGTAAAAATGATGATGCTTTGCTGCCATCCTCTTCACCATGACATCAACTTCACATCTATGAACCAAGTTCTTTACGTGTCTCAACAACTAAATCAACCATCATGATGTCCATCACGCGTCTCATCGCGACGACCCTCTCCCTCACCTCCCTCTCCCAAGCTTCGAACTGGGAAAACCTAACCTCAATCCCAACGGGCACCCTCCAAGAACACGTAACGCTGTCCCTCTCACCAACAAAAATAGCAACAATAGGTGGCCTAGCCTCCAACGGATCTACCATCCCGCTCCTCCTCCTATACGACATCCCAACCAACACCTGGACCGAAGGCAGCCCCCTCCCAATCCCCCTAAACCACCCAAATGCCGCCGTCTCTGACGGTAACATCTACGTCCTAGGCGGTCTAACCGGCATCCCAAGCTGGGCAGCGACACCAGCCTGCTACGTATACCACTCCTCAAACAACAGCTGGTCCCCCCTCACCTCAATGCCACCCTCCCAAAGCCGCGGCGCCGCTTCCACGATACAGTCCAACGGCATTATTTTCCTGGCAGGCGGCCTCCCCAACGGAACAGGCGATTCCTTAGATATAGTATCAGCGTATAACGTCTCTTCCGAATCATGGATAGAACTCCCGTCCCAAGCAGCGCGCTTACCTGCGGCGCGAGACCACGCCGGCCACGCTACCATCGACGGGAAGTTCTACGTCCTCGGCGGCAGGAAGAACGGTGGCACGAATGTCCAGGACACGGTCTTTATTTTGGACGTAAATGATCTAGAGGCGGGGTGGCGGACGAGTGAGGCAAAGATGCCGACGCCACGGAGCGGGATCGCTGCCGCGGCGCTGGGGAACAAGATATACACTTTTGGCGGGGAGATTAATCCCGCCCCTGGGTCGCGGGGCGTGTTTACCGAGTGTGAGGTGTATGATACTGTTGCTGATAGTTGGGAGAGGTTGCCCGCCATGCAGGTGCCCAGGCACGGGACGTCTGCTGCTGGTGTTGGCGGACGGATCTATATTCCTGGTGGTGCGGTACAGAATGGAATGGGTGGTGTGGATGTTTTTGATGTTTTTACACCGTAAATACCTATCTGTAGAAGGGTGGTGGTGAAAATGATGAAAATGATTTAATTTGATTGGAATGTGCAAAGAAGCAAATAATACCGTGTTGTGCCGTCGAGATTTGATGCAGAATGCTTGCACGTGATACTTATACAGATTTTGTTGGCAGCATTTTCACAATCTAATCAGCGATAGTCACTTTGGCGGAGTGGTTAACGCGCTGCCCTGCTAATTCCTCGGGTTAGCATGCTAGGCAGTTCCTTCGGGAGCACAGGTTCGAATCCTGTAGGTGACGTTTTTTTTTCATCAATCATCTATCTCTTTTTGTCTCCAAGGGCGTACGTACGTACGTATCTGATTTGACGAGCACGTCGTGGTTGGTGCTAGGCTGGTTGATTCTGTTTGGAAGATCAGATAGAGTTGAGGCCAGGTGCTGGACAGACATACAACAGCCTTCCCATGTCGAAATATGAAAATACAACTAGGAATCAATGACAAGAGCTGGTGAGAGTCACTGTGGAGCCCCACCTGAGCAGCAGTAAAGGAGACGCTATCACTGGTATTCGAAAGAACTCGACTCGGTCTGGGTCCAAACATTCTTTTACATTCAAAATTGTAGGTATCTCAACCTCTATAAACAAATCTATTCGAGATAATCACAAACATCCCTCAACAGCCTCCCAGAAGTCACTTGGGGCCTCACACATAGGCAAATGCCCCGCGTTTGGCACAATCTTCAACTCACCCCCCTTCTCCCCAAGCAACCCCTTGAACCCATCCATGGCCTTGACAAGCGCACCCTTGGCATCGCCATCGCCCACCACGAACAGACCCGGGACAGTGCAGCCCTTCATCTCCTCACGCATGTTATAGTCCCACAGCGCCTGGCAACTATACCGGAATCCGCTTACACTATTGCCCGCAACCATATCCGTCATCCAATCCGCAACATCCTTCTTTTCGGTCATGGTGTGCGGGTGGAACCACCTACTCACGGTCGCGGGCGCAAGCTTGCCGATCCCGGACTCCGGCGCGGGACCCTCAGCCACAGCAATGCGCTCCTTCCACGCAGCGGTATTGGCCTCGCTCGAGGCAACATTAAAGTCGCACGCCACAAACTTGGCCAGCTTATTCGGGTATTTCAGCGCGAATTTCAGAGTAGTCGCGCCGCCCATGGACACGCCGATCAATGCATGAAGCTGGGGGATGCGCAGCGCCGAGAGGAGCGTCGCCAAATCGTCTGCCAACATGTCGAGCGTCGCCGGGACGGGCGGCGTCGGGATATCGTGCCGGCCACGGGTATCGTACCTCAGCATCCGCAGGTCCGGCCTCTTCTGCTTGAGGATCTCGACGAGCGGATCCCACATGTGCAGCGACGTGAGCAGGCTGTTGCAGAACGCCACGGTCGGCGCGCCCGGGGACGGGTTGCCCTCGAGACGGTACGGGATCTCCAGCCCGTCCGCGGCCGTGACGTAGCTGCTGATGACCGCGTTCTCGCCCGGCGTGGTGCTCAGCTTGGGCGCGGCCGCCGAAAACGCAGCCGCGGCTGACAGTTTCGAGAGGGAGTGCAGTTCTCTCGGCGCCGGGCCGAACACGTAGAACAGCTCGTATGTCCTCCTGCTCTTGTCGGCGATGTACTTGGCGAACACGTCGTCGCGCCAAGATGTGCTCATCGACGCCTTGTGCTCCGGCCCTTCCAAGCCATTCTCCTTGGCGTATTCGTGCAGCGTGACGATCTTGGTCTCACCGGCGGCGGCACCTTCGATCGTCGACGGGGTCCGGAACACGCGGCTGCGCAGCCAGCCCGGGATCTTGGACAGCATGGGGATGTGTTCCTCCTCGTACCACTTGAGGACGGCCTGCTCGGCGCCCTCGACGCCGCTTTTCAGGGAAACCTCGACAGACACAAGAACGAGACCTTCTGCTTCGGCGTCGGTCAGCTGCTCGATCGGGAGGAAGAGCGGGCTCTGCTGCGACGCCACGAGGTCGAAGAACTTGCGGTCCACAGCCACCTGGCCGATCGTCGCGGCTTCGCGGGCAGACCGGTTCGCGCGCAGGCAGAGGTAGGTCTCGGTTTCGAGATGCGACATCTGGGTGACGTCGTAGGCCGCCAGAAAATGCGGCTCCTGGCCGTCGGTGGCGCGGTACCGCAGGCCGTTGGTGAAGATCTGCGGGATGCGCAGGCGCGTCGGGCCGTGCTCGTTGTTGTACCACTCGTGGAATTGGTCCAGCGAGAGCCCCGGCTCGGGCTGCATCGTGACGTAGAGCATCCCCGGGGTGGCCATGGCTGGCTGCTGATTGAATGGGACAATAATACCTACTTGGTTCTTGGTAAGATCAACCAGCTGGGTATATCCTCAATTGCCTCAATTCGAGCGAAGAAAACATGTTCGGGAAGAAGCGCTGGCGGGGCAATGCGCGGCACTGATGGTCGGCCGGCCGGAGTTGACGTCGGAGGGCAGATGTGGAAACGAAAGGGAGAGATGTCAGAGGGACGTCGGCTGTTGAGCCGGTTGGCGTCACTGCCGGGCAAAACATATCCCGAGCTAAACCGCGCTAACGATTTATATAGGGGGAGGACGCCTGAAGCCACTCCCGTCTGGGCTGAAACTCAATTGGCAGGCAAGTGGTCCACAACTTCCAGAAGCTCTGCTCTGGGGAGGCAAACTCCGAATAAACAGTACACTCCAGTGACAACCTGGTCGGGTTGAACTGATCATTAATGTCAGCAAAATTTATCAATATCCTCTGGAATGTTGGCCCGCCAGTTGGTTCCTTCACAATTGCCTTCACAAACGACACCCTGCGTGTTTCCATCAACGCCGCTCTTCTTTCTTAGCGCATGAGATTATGTTAATTAACGAAGGCATCGCAGCTTAGATGACTACGAGAGAAGAAAGACAAACAAACGAACACAGTTCTTATACATATACATCACTTTTCTTTTCCTCGTGCCAGCTTTATATAAGACAGCTTCCCTTCCCGTCTCCCCGCTCATCTACCCCACAGTCGTGCCATCGATGGGAGTAGTCTTGATGTCCCCCAAAGCGCGACTCTCAACGTTCCAACCATCGGCCGTCGCCCCCTTACCTACAAAATACTCGCCAGCAGTGGTATTCCCTCTCAGCGTCCACTGCAGGAACCTGGTAACCGCAACCCCAAATCTGCCAGCATTGGGCTCTGCATAGGTCCCGAGATGGCCGACGGGCAAGTTCCCTTTCCAGGTTGGCGTCGCGGCCGGGATGAGCTTGTAGTCGCGCTCTCCGTTCGCGTACGCGATGTCGCCGCTTCCCCCCAGGAAGTAGAAGGTCGGCTTCTTGAAGCTGGCCGCTTGCTGACCGGAGAAGGCACCCGAGTTCAGGATTCCAACTGAAATAACGCGAGGGTCGGTCGCCAGATCGTACGCCTCCACCCCACCACAGCTTTGGCCCGCGACGGCGATGCGCGTTGCGTCGATGGCCGCATACTTGCTCCCCGTGCCGCCCGCAGACTTGACCACCCAGTCAATGGCGTCCTTGAGCATCTTGGATGTTGTCGTGCCGGTGCCGGCCGGGGAGCCGGAGGCGATCACCATGATACCGTGCGACGAGATCTCGGTGAGGATGGACAGGAACGAAGTCCCGTCGGCGCGGCACCCGCCGTTGCCAAACACCATGACGGGGAGTTTGAGACCGGCGGGGATCACGTTTGGCAGGTAGATTGTGTGGGCTGGAAGAGTAGGATCCGTGGTGTAGTTGGCCAGATAGGGTCCCGAGCCGCCGGTCTGGCCGCGTAAGAGTTAGCTCCGTTCATGGTGGTAGAACGCATGTTTCTGACTTACTGTAGTGCCCATGGTAAGGGTTGGTGCTCCCGAGAACTGCCGTCGATTTCCCGCCAAGCCTGCAGCAGCAGCAGTGGCGGCACTGGCAAAGACAAGAAGAGACAAAGAGAACTTCATTGTTGACTTGAGAAGAATGTTCTTTACGAGTGATGTCAGACGCAACACCAGAACAGCCACGAGCATTACAATTTGCAAAAAGAAATACTAGGTAGTCTATATACATTCACACCTGCATCGGATCTCATCTTAACCTTGTGTACTTCTGGTCTAAAAACAGGGTATGTAACAATAAGCACTGTAGGTATATGGATATGAGGGGTAGATGTCGTCGTCAGCGGTGATGTTGACACATATAAGGTATATATATATATATATTTTATAGTCTATTATTAACTATGTATCATCAGGGGTCAAACAACAAACTACCTGGTAATGGGCTCAGGTATGGGGTCCTTTCAAGCCATTTTCGGGCAAGTTGAGGCCGAGATTGAAGAATAACACGCAAGGTTGAGAATGAGATACGTACCGATCAACATGCCGGCACGATAAAAGATGGGAGAAGAAGGCCTTATCTATGGGATTAATGTCTGCCACGCAACTTTGCAAGGGGCTTGCGAGGCGGTTAAATTGGTCTGAAAAAAGGTGTTAACACTCCCTAGAAAAAATCCGATCGTCCACATTCCGATCTATTACCCCACATTCCGATCTATTACCCCACATTCCGATCTCTATCAAAGCCATTTTTACACTTCTTCATGTAATATTTTCTCCAGCTGAGTCCGCCACTCACTGCTGGCTTGCGTACGTCAGCTTAATCAATACCCATCCTCAAAGTGTGTGAGGCAACGCAACGAAAACGCTATAAACGGATTGTTGTTGTGGGGAGGATGTCCAGGCGACTAACTATCTATGGTCCTCTCACACAAGGCCATCATGGAAGGACATAGGATTACCTCAGACCATATTTATTTAAAGCTCCTAAATACAAAAAAATGAGCGCTTCATGACCAGAGCTACATATCTTTCATGTCGCAGATGATATTATGTCCTAGTCTGTGATGATATGTGGACGGCTGCCACCTTGCCAGCCCATGACGCCTTCAGCCTTTCCTAGATAGGTGAAACGTAAGCTACCTTACCTACTCATTGCTTGAGTTGTCGTCCGTGACACATACCAATTGACCAGGTAGGTCGGGTGAGGGATACAGATTAATGCCAGCAGTTCCGCCATTGCCCTGGAACCAATACGTCCCCATCTGTCAGTTTTGTCAGTTTTTTGCTCATATGCTCATATGCTGCTGCCAGTGTATGTAAGGTACCTAGGTAGGTGGCCTTACTTACTGAACACTAATTTTCACTTTTTGTCAATCCGGTGTCCAGTCAGCTCTGACTTAAGACTCAGAAGGTCGTGGACACAGCTTGCGAAACAATGACATTGCCAAGACCTAATATCATGGTCAGCCAGCAGGATTTAG